TGTCAAGAAAGACTGTTAGAGTACTTTATTTGTTAGCACAGGCTTTGTTGACGGACGACTCAAGATTAAAAATGTGATCTTTTGTGCTACGTCCTTTACGGAAGCCGCTCTGTTGCTGGCTGAAGAGGTCATGTGTTTCTATATACCACAATAAGCGGGAGTTAACCATGTGTTCCATTAGTTTGCATAAGGTGGAGGTGAGAGCTATTGGGCGGTAAGATGAAGGGTTGGCTGGATCTTTCCCTGGTTTGAGGATAGGAATGAGAATAGTGTCTTTCTGCTGCTTAGGACATTGGGGGGTGTACCAGATCATGTTGAAGATGATGAGTAAGTATTCCCTGATTTTAATGGGCAAATGTTTGATAACCGCATTGCTGATTTCATCTTTTCCCGGTGTTGTACATTTGGAAGCATCAATGGCATGATTCAATTCGTCAATGTTGAACGGTTCATGAAGGACTCCATCATTGTTGTCTTGAAACTTGAAAGTGCTTTCCGCTTCTTTTCTGGTGTTGATGAAAGAGGGGTTGTAGTTTTCATTGCTACTGATTTTAGCAAAATTATCAACAAGGGTCTCAACTTTATCTTTGTCAGTGACAACATTTTTACCATCATAATTAATGACTGGAATATTGGTCTTTTTGTGAGAAGGGTCAATACATTTAATTTGTTCCAGATAAGTTTAGTAATAGTTCTCGGCTTAAGGTCATTGCAAAATTGTTCCCAGTCTTTTCTTTTTGCAACTTTGATGGTTTTCTTAGCAATGGCACAGGCTCTTTTGTAGTTTATTAGATCAGATGGGAGACTAGTTTTTCTCAGTTTTTTTAAAGCCTCCTTTTTGTTTTGTATAACTTTCTGACATTCGTCATTCCACCAAGTGGTAGGTGGTTTGTTTGTGCGACTCGGTTTGGTTTTAGGTATAGAACTAGTCATTGTGCAATCAAGTTCATGACTGAAGTTGTCGTATGTGGCGTCGATACTGACTGTGCTGTCTGGCTTACTGATTAGACAGTTGCATTCCTTTGCGAATTTGCCCCAATCAGCTTTTTTAAGTGACCACCGACGTGTAGACTGGTTAGTGCTTTTATAAATCCGGTGATTAATTTCAATAGTGATTGGACAGTGATCGCTCCCCATCGTGTTATTTAAAATAGTCCATTTGCATTTGGAGACTATGCAAGGGGAGGCAAGGGTACATGTAATATTTATACATGAAAGGGAACTGCGTGATGAGTTAACTCTGGTACCTTCTCCAGTGTTAAGACAGACCAAGTTGTTGTTAGAGATGATATCATCAATAATTTGTCCATTATGATCAAGTTTAGAGCTACCCATAGTGGGTTGTGACCATTAAAGTCGCCACAAATTATGCAAGCCTTGTCAGTGTTTCCAATGATTTGGTTAAGTGAGTTGAAGTCTAGTGTGGAGCAAGGGTTGTAAGCATTGATGATATTAATTATAATTTTACAGTCATCGTAAATTTCACCTATTTGGAGCTCCAGAGGGATATTAAAACCCGTTTTGTATTTGAAAGCAACTCCATGTTTTTCAATAAAAGTACATCCACCACCACTTTTTTTGTTTGAGTTGTTTCGGTCATGGCGGTATACATGTACATCGTAGCCACTTAATCTGAAATTTTTATTCTCTTTCAACCAAGTTTCTTGGACGCAAATGATGTCTGGTTTCTTGATCGTAGGCCAGGAGTAAATTATTTTTTTTAGTTCCTTTTGATGAGCCAGATGAGCCTTTTGTGCATTCCATTGTAAGATAAGTAAACCTGTCATCAAAGTGTAAATATTCATGATATTGCGTTTCTGTTACTTTTGGGGGGTTGGCTTGCGTTTGACTGGTTAGATGAGTGTGTTCCTGTTTTTGTTTGATGAGATTTCGACGCATCTGTTTCTTCAGGCTGGATGGAGTCTGTGGAGTGGATCTGCGTCTGCCTGGCTTTTCTTTGTGTTTTTTGAGTTTTTCAGGTTCGGGACGAAGGTGGTCGATAAGAGATTTTGTTGCAGCTACTGTCTCGTCTTTGTTCTTGTGGGTATCCATTATTTGCATTACTCTAGTGAGTAGTTCTAGGATATTGACTGCGCTACAAAGGCACTGGTGTGTGGATTCAGTTTGTGTTGCAGTTG